TTTTAATTTTTGTTCATGTAATAATAATTGTTATTTTCGATAAACTAAAAAAATCAAAATTATTCAGTTCCATGAAATTTTCATTATTTATTATACAAATATACAAACTCTGTTATAATTTATATCTGTTTTTCATTTGTTTGATTCCGCCACACGAACAGTTGGTAAGATGGTCCCATTGTCCTGAAGTAAAAATTATTTAAACTCAGATATTATTTTTCGGTCTACTCTTTAACACAATGAGCCCTGACCAGGATTCTAGATAATTTAATTTAATTGTTATTTAACTGCAATTCTCATAATGAATGTTCACTATAAGCTCCTTACGTTTGATACAGATGTCGAAAATTTTTTTTCCAATAACCACTAATCAATGCTTGCTCAACAAGTATACGTATAGACAATTTGAAAAATGAAAATAAATCAATTACGTAAATATGTTTTTTGAAAATTTAATGAACATTAAATTAAGTAAAAGAATAAACAAAACTAAAAGAGTGGAGCTTAAAAAATTTTATTTGGGCATCTAGCTATTAAAAAAATATATTTGTCAACTATCAGAAAAACTTGACGAAAATTTTTTTATGAAATTTGACGTCGGAAACGCTGCAATGCTATACTACCAATTTTTAATCTCCTGTCTTTTTTTGTAGATCTAAAATTTTATTGTCTAAAAAATGTGTTACGTAGTGACACATATGGCAATAGGTGAATAACTAAATTTTTGAAGGCGTTCAGTTGAGCGAAGTAGTACAGACTCGATGTGGTCAGACAGTTGAGAACTTTCGTACTTTGCCGTGTTAGTAAAACAAACCTTTACGTACTTACTCTCTACTAGAATTGCTTTTCTTGAAACTAAATTGGTAAACAAGTAAAATAATCATTCGGAATAAGTAATTGTATTATTAATTAAAGTTAAGCCCGTGTTACTTTGCTTGCTTTGATTTCTCTTAAATTTTTCTTATCCTTCGCATAAAAAAATGTATTAAAATATTACACAGACATTGTAATTTTAATATTTAATTAAATATTGCCAAAACTCTTTATACGTGCAGTATAGTAGTTTACAAGTTCATGGAATATAAGGATATTTTTTTTATGTCAAAGCAATTGGTCTATCTCAATATTATATGCTATTACATTTTCCTCCAACGTATCAAGATCATTATCTATAAAATCTATGTGATTGTGGTGTCTGACGTAAAAAAAATTTTCATCTAACCATATCGTAGTAAGCAGCGTTATTACCTGAGCTGCGTCGGGCGCTTTAATGTCCTTATTGACGTAATATTTGCTTACACTCATCCCAGTACTAGGCTTGCCTCGCATACAATTCTAAAGACGAGAGAGCAAATATTGATTAATGTGTGCCATTTTTGCGTTTTTTACCCATTTTTTAATACAATTTTATGCTTCATGACAATTATCTGTCTTGAAATTCATGACTTTCTTATCTAACACTTGTTCAAATTATTGAACGAATTAATTGATAAATTAATTATTCTTGCGGGAAATTATTACAAGCCATGTCAAAGTGTTTTAAAAATTTTTGAGTTTATTTTTTTTTTACATTCAATTCAATTCAATTACATTTATGGAATTTTTTTGTTTTTAACAATAATATTAAAATATTTTCGACTTGGTTTACACTTCGAGTATGGTGCAAATTTACTGTATATGGTACCCTCCGTCAATGACCACCGCAGAACCGGTAGTCATCGCGCTTCTGTCACTCAGAAGAAATACTATAGAATCCACAACCTCACAAGGTTCTACAAGAAAACGGATTTTACATAATTATTTAATAACCATCGAAATCCAGCAACAACTGAGGTAATAATGTTCATATCTTGCCTGCAAATCGATCCATCGGAATTTTCACCCTTAAAGTGGCAGCCTTATCCGGATCGCTCCAATTCGCTTTTCCCATCGCTGTCATGACAAGCGTTGGATTAACCGTGTTAACTCGGATGTTGTAAGGGGCCAACTCCAAAGCCATAACTCTGGCCATAAAATCACAATTATTTTAATATATTTTATTGAAGCAATTTTTTTATTTACCAATAATATTGAGTAGCATTAATTTAAAAAACAAATTTATGCATCCCAAAAAATCCCCTTTTTCCACAATAGTAGTACGCTTGAATATTAAAATGTCTGCTTTCAATTTTTAGGGAGTATTGTTTTTTTGTAGAATGAGTTCAAAGTCGGGTTGACACACTATAATTTTTCAAAATATTTCAAATTTTTGTGATACTGTATTAATACGCGGGATAAAAATTATATAATCTATGTAATAAATATAGTGATCATTGCAATAACTTATAAAAAATATTACAAGTTATTGTAAATAAAAAAAATGATTCTTCAACTATTATAATTGTGATGTTTATAGATATTTAATATGAATATTATAGTAGTTCTTCATGATATGCTAGTCATTAATTGATATGTTGTTATAAGTCATTCATTGATATGAATTTTTCTATCTACGAACAATACCTATTCAAAATTTTTATAAATATGCATTTATTTAAACTTGCGTCTAAATATATTGTACAACATGATACAGGGAATTAGCTAACACTTGATTTCTAATTACGTTTTTATTGTTATTGTTTTCGAAAAATATGCCTATATGAAATTCTATCACGAAAAAAATTAAGAATTCCTCAATAAAATTAGTATAAAATTATAAACATATTTAGAGTAATATATTAAAATTTTATATACTCCAGTTTTATCGTTTTCGAGAAATAAATTATTTCTTTAACACATACTATTAT